TTTGAATAACGATTAAATATATTAATTGTTATTAATTTCCTTGCATTGTTATTCATGTAGTTTATTATTCGTCATTTTCTTAAAACGCTTCGTATTAAGCGGAGCGGTTGTTCACGCGTCAAAGGCCGAGCGTCCAGATCCGAGCCAATGCTCCCGATTCGCGGCTCGCGCCAACTGAGCGCTCTGATTGGTCGCGGTTTTTTGTTAATAATTCCTAAACCACGCCGCGGACAACTTTTTCGCTAAGGAAAATGTTTTTTAAAATTACGTGAGAAACCTCCTATTTCAATATCTTACACTAATTTTGAAACACCCAGTATAAGAACGTACGATCTCGCTGGACTAACAGGTAGAGAAGACAAACGGATAAGAGATGAAAAGACAGACAATGGTTCAGGCTGCTCGACATTAAATCACTGGTAATTACGAGCAACGCCAGAGGCATTGTTACTCGTACGTGCACCGCGCGCTCCTATCAGACATCTATTCATTACCGCCGAGGTAATTGCGTGTGTAAACGCCGACGACGACGACGACCAAGCCGCGTACCTTTCGTACTCCACGGTTTCTTTATTATCCGGACGCAGGATCGATCGCGATCGCGCTTTTCCCCGTGACTCCCGACACCCGCATGACTCACGTTCGTCTCACCTTTTATGCGGGACCAACGTTCGCCGCTCAATATTAAATAGAGAAACTCCTAAGTTCCGCCTCGGTGCGAGCCGAGGCGAGTCGAAGGCAATAACGCCTTTCGAAACCCGATCGTTCTCCGTTTTCCTTTTCGACGTTCGCAAAATTGTTGATTTATCGGGGCGCGAGCGAAATAACACGGTAGATGAGCTCCCGTTGGGAAACGTTTCGCCGTGCCGCGGTGCCAAATCGATTGCACGCGACGTGCTCCCTCCGCGAAGAACAAAGGGAAAAGTACATAGAGACGTATAAAGTATTTCCTCCGAGAGCTCATTCCGGTCATCCAGTATTTATTTAGTCTCTCGACTGGTACGAATAAACGTCTGGAATCGCGTGTGTTCATATCGAATCTTTTTATAAATAAAAGAAATTATTTTCACTTCTTGATTTATTCACTTTGCTGAGCAACGAGAGATATTTCTTGAAAAATACGGTTGAGGTATTATTAAGACGCGACGCGGTGTTGCACGCCTCGAGGCGCAAACCAGAACCTTCAAGCATTTCTGCAATCTTCCGCAACCCAAAAACAACGCCGTCTACGCCTACGAACATATTTTCCTACCGCCGTGATTCACGCCGCCATTAAACCCGGAAGGACAACCGCTTGGCTAATCTTGAGTACCAAAACTGATTTTCAGTGATAAAAATATGATCTATATATAATAATAAGCTGCGAAGTGCATCTTTGAAGTGCAATTTTGATGATGTAGTTAATAATTGTTAATACTAAGTATTTAAGGATGTATTGGATATACAGTCAATCGCAAAAGTTTATGTACCTTAGAAAAACGCATTTCCTATAATTAAAAAGAAATCAGAGGTCGGAAGAACAATGCTAATAGTAAATGGCTACGTGCTA